GTAGTAGAGTCTATGAGACAGCGCTCTGTTCTGTTGAAAAGTAACACAATTAGTAATAGATTGAGATCAAAAGACAATATTAACAACTAAACTGGCAGTTTGTGGCTGCTGTCGGGGCTTTAAAGGATTACTTTACCCCACATTAAAATGTTTCGATTAATGAATTACTCATCCTGTGTTACCTTGAATTTGTGAAAAAAACTTTTTCTAGCATGACTCCACGGTGAACAAAGAATCCCAAAATGGAGAAAAGTCTTAATAAATGTTAAATTAACTGGGGCTTTGTTTTACAACACCAAAAATATATGAAAACATCCGTTAACTAACTCTAACACAACTAATGCTGTATAATCCAAATGTCATTCACTGTATGCTCAGTACTTCCCTAAAACATGCATTCTGCTTAAACCTCACAGTTTAAAACACTTCTGCATAAAGAGACGAGCTCCTCTTTTCTCAAGAACAGTTAATGCAGAAGTGTTTAGATAAGTAAGGTTTTAGGGAAGTTATGAGCATATGAATTCAAGGTCACTCAGGGTAAATAATAATATAAAAACGATACTTTCAAGGGGTAAAGACATCCTTTCAAAATAAATGTCATTCTTTGCAACAGATAATCTCTAAAGTTTAAACATATTTAATTATCAGTTAACCTCAATCAGACACTAGTTATAACTCAAAATGACAAAGCCAAGGATTTTATTAAAGCATTCAAATCTAATATTAATCCCAAATATATTTAAATCAAATCCTGTTTTGAGCACAGCGTAAAAATAATGAGTTGCTAAATCTCCTTGGAAAATATTTAGTTAAAAAGCTGTTTCATTAAATCGTCACACCTTTAGCCTCAGTGACTGGATCAAGTTTGAAAAAACACAAAGTTATAAATAATGAAACTACGATTTGTAAACTACAAATAGTAATTATTGATTGTTTTTGTTTTTCAACAGCAAAACTTGATGGTGGCCCTTCTGCAGAAAAAACCATCGATGCTAGAACTGGAGGAAATATTGTAGTTGAATGCTCCTTTACTCGCTTTGGGACCAAGAGGTTCTTCTGTAAGGAGGAATGTGTAGGAGACAATCTTGTTGAAACAACTATTGACACATCTACTAAAAAAGACAGATACAGCATCAGACATGTTGAAGGAGGATTTGTGTTTGTGAGCATTGAACAGCTGAACCAGTCTGACTCAGGATGGTACAGGTGTGGTCTGGACAGACCTGACTCTAAAGATCGATACCAGAGGTTTATGCTCATCGTCACTGATGGTGAGTTTCTGCTTGATAATGAAAATGTTTGTTCTTGTCTCTGAAGACAGTTTTCACTGACAGCTGCTGATGTTTTAAACTCAATTTAAAAGAGTTCAGCTGACACACACAGACATACAGGAGGATCTAATTTCTCTCATCAGATCTTCTTTATGTCTGCTTGTTTTTGTTCAAAGCTTTGACCACTTCTAGAGATAAGATAAGATAAAAAGTACTTTATTGATCCCAATTTGGGTAATGTTTGTGTTGCAGCAGCATAAAAAGACATGGCATTGTACAATACAAATTTAAAAACTAGAAATAAACAAGAAAGTAGAAAATATACATGTTGAATTTACAATGCTCTCTTCTTCTCCTTCATCATCCGACCCATCAGCCTCTACACCAACAGTAAACCAAAGTGAAAGCTCCACATCTTCACCAGCTTCCCCTAAAACCACTGAGCAACCTGAAACAACAACTACAGGTACATCCACACACTGTGTTTACTAGATAACGTTTCAACAACTTATAGAACTTAGAACTGACTCTAAAGATCGATACCAGAGGTTTAGGCTCATCGTCACTGATGGTGAGTTTCTGCTTGATAATGAAAATGTTTGTTCATGTCTCTGAAGACAGTTTTCACTGACAGCTGCTGATGTTTTAAACTCAATTTAAAACAGTTCAGCTGACACTCACAGACACTCAGGAGGATCTCATTTCTCTCATCAGGACTTCTTGCTTGTTTTTGTTCACAGCTCTGACCACTTCTACACCTTCATCATCAGTCCCATCAGCTTCCTCAACAACAACAATCCAAAGTGAACGTTCCACAACTACACCAGCCTCCCCTAAAACCACCAAGCAGCCTGAAGAAACTAAAGGTACATCCACATACTGTGTTTACTAGATAACGTTTCAACAACTTGTGAGACATAAAAGAGCAATAGAATGGCCATCACATTCTTCCATCATATTGTTCTTTGCCTTCTCTACTATCACAACCTGTACATTTCAATTAGCATCTGTAAAAAACACATTACAAAGTAGATTTTAAAATGCTGTACCTTTTAAATCAATACTACATCTATTCTATTTTGACAGTATATGGCAAATACTGTTGACCTGTTATCTTCCGCTAAAGATAACCTGTCCCCCCCTCTAAAAAACCAAATGTATTGTGGGTACTCTAAGTGTTAGATGAATATGTAATTCTTCAAACACCGACAGGTGTGATCCTGTATGTGTTTCTGACTCTGGTCGTCCTGGTCATCGTGTCATCACTGTGTGTGCTGGTATTCTGCAGGAAGAGGATTTGTAAAGCCAAAAGTGAGGAACCAGGTAACACACACACACTCACACTCTCACACACACACACACACACACACACACACACACACACACACACACACACACACACACACACACACACACACACACACACACACACACACACACACACACACACACACACACACACAAACAAAACATTTCTCACTGAAGAGTTGTAGTTTTCTCTTGACCAATCTTAACTTTAAAAGCAGACGCACAATTCTTAAATAACTTTCTCACACAAAATGTCCATCCCCCATCACCAGATTGGTGTACGGATATTCATTTACAGCATTAAAAATAACCCAACTGCTACTCAGTCTAAAGGTTTTGTTATCACTGGTTATTGTAGAGTGACAATCCTTCAGTTGTTGCTAGGAAACAGATGCTAGATTTATGCTTTGTAAGTAGCAACATCACGAACATAGAACATGTTAGTATCTTTGCAACTACATATTAATACGATTTAAAAAACAACAACATATATTTAAATCTATATCACACCTGACTGCAAATCAGTCTATCTACAAAACGTATGCCATTTATAAAAATAAGCTTTTCACAAACACACACAAATAGAGAGAGCTAAGAGGATAGCTTCCTCTATTTTGGAGACCAAGTGAAGTCAGAGGATCAGAGGCTTTTTTTTAAGTTCATATGCATTTTAGAAACATGTACAGCCATTGGTTGTTAATTTTTTTCATTGAAACTTTATTTTATATACTTAATCAAGTTTCTTTAGTAACTGCAATTTGGCAGGGTGGTTAATGATTAAATATACTGTATATTCTGTTGTTTACAAACTCACATCTATTTATCTTGTTTTACTCTGATTTTAATTGTTGGCCTAAATATTGGTCCAAATGGGGAATGTGTGATGTCATGTTTGAAAATCTGTTCTGAGTCTTTTTCTCAAAGTCCTGTTGTGTTTTTCAGAACCTCATGAGGAAACACAACATGCTTCTGCACCAGAGGTGAGTTTGAGGAAATCTGAGAATCATATAATACATTCTTCTGAAGACCAACGAAGTGTACGAGGGTCGATGTGAGATCTCCTGGGGAAATCTCTTTAATTTACCCTTACACTGTACGCCAAATAAACACAACCAAATCGAGCCAAAACCAATTATTATACCACGTTGTTGCTGCAGCTAGTTTACAAAATACAGTAAGGATAAACAAGTAATACAATATTGTCTGCAGTAATATAATACGTCTAAATATGGAAAAAATACCTAAACAAACACAACTTATTTTTGTTTTGATGACATTACTTCACAACCAAGTCCAGTTGCTTGTTTGTTCTGTTGTTAAAGACACATTTAATCAAGCAATGTTGTTTCCTCCAGGCTGAAGACGACCCGAGTCAACACGCCTACTCTGAGATCAAATTTGTCAGCGTGGACTCGTCCCAAAGCGGTTTCCACGGTGACGCTGAGTGTGTTATCTACTCTGTTCCTCGGGTGGAAGCTAGCTCTGATGAGCCCCCTCTGTACTCTACTGTTAACAACCCCCAATAACTCTCACAGTCTGGCAGAAGAAGCTGGTGTGGATTAAGCAGCCGTGTAAGATATTCTGAAACTAAGAGATGTTTGTGGGAATATGTACGATTATTTATCCATTTACTTATTTCAAACCTGCTTTGAATGACCTGCTCATGTGATGATAAGTCCAGCTCTGCTCTAGTTCACAAGCGTGCGGCTTCAACAGTTTGCTTCAGGTCAAAGCTGGTTGCACTTATTGTAAGTCCCTTTGGATAAAAGCCTCAGCTAAATGATATGTAGTTTAATGTAAAAAGCTCTTTTATGGCTTCAATTTATTTATAAAGTTCATTTTATTACACTTGATATGGTATTACAGTTATCTCTGTAAGATAGACTGTTCTAGTCAAGTTAGCAGATTAGCATAAGATATGTTGCTCCGAATTAGCTTTGACTATTAAATTGACTATTTTGGTTAAAGGCTTAATTTACAGAAATGTTTAATTATAGCAGAATATAAATAAATAGATATGAAACTATAGATGTGGTCAGTACGGGTAACAAGATGCCACTCCTCATACTGTTACGTAATGTGTCAGACTTTTAACCTGTTTGTATTGTTTATATATATACAGTATATTTGGATTTGCACCTTTTTTTATAGAGTTTTATTTTTTATATTGTATTTTATATTAGCACTCTTCCTGCTCTGTACTGCATCTGCTGCACAACACAATTTCTCAGGATGAAAATAAAAGTTATCTTAAACAAATTATTTCTGAATGTGTTTGACAATAATCTTATAATGTAAATGTTAAAAGCTAAATATATTATTTTCCTGCATTGAGTTACAAAGTTTTAAAGTGAAACCATACGTGATACACATGCAGGTGTTAGAGAGGAGAGTAAAGCTGTGTTGTATTTTAAGCAGGGACTCCATCGTTTAGAGAAGTGAAAACGTGTTGGTTTGCCGGTGAAGAAGAAAGAGAGACAGCGTTCAACCATCAGAGACTCGAACATGGACGTCTGCCACAGTTTGATCTTCTTCGTTCTCAGTGAGTACACTTTGTATTTCTGTCATTTCTCTATAACGTCATCTTACTTTCTGTATTTAATGTTAAACTCCCCCAGCTGTGTGAACATCAGCTGTTTGTTTGTTTGTTTGTGTGGGTAAAGGTGTGACCAGCCATGAGTAGGAGTCACATTATTTGTATTTAATATAAAAAACGTATGAGCATATTCCTAATGTATTTTTAATCCACAACTTTTTTTTACATTTGACCTTCATCCAAAGGTTTTTACAATATAATTGCAATCAACCATGAGGATACAAATTCTGCAACAATCCTGCAAACACATACGCTTTCAAATACATTTCTCATAGCCAGGTTAGTTTTTATAGTCTCACTTTGTAGTTTTCACATTGGTTCTGCTGAGACTTCACACAGGAAACTACCTCTATAACACAATAAGAGAAACCTGCTAGAAGCTCCCAAAATAAATCTTTCTCAGGAAGTCTCTGCAAATGCATGCTTTTGTGACTTCAGGGTTGATTAATCAGTCAATATGCCCTCTTAGATTTAGAACTCCAGGGTTCATTCACTTGCTTTTTCTGGAGATTTCAACGTGTCACCATCTTAAGGTTTGTTTGGTTGTCATGGAGAAAGGGGGTTTAAAATTAATTCAGCAAATTGAACTGCATTGACTTAAAAAATGTGATCAACTAATGTAAATACTAATGTTTATTTTACGATAGAAAACTCAAATGTAACACCTGTAACAGCTTCTAGTGCGACTGAATGTATGAACACTTGACATTGACTGTTTATGGGTACATATGTAAGTGTGTTTATAAAGTCTGAAATAAAACTTTGCAGTGGCTGATGTTTTATTTTAATGTCATATTAACTTTATATATTACAGAAAACATTTTAATGCGTAATGGAGCTGCTACTATGTTGTATGCCATTAAATAGGTTTATCTCGTCTTATATGTTAAAGTGGACCTATCATGCTATATTTAAATGATATATTGTAGGGCCATACCTATATAAGGTATATTTATACGTTTCTGTTTTCAAAATACCAAACAGATCATGCATTTTAGCCATGCCTCATTTCGCTCTATGTGCTGTTTGCTGTCTACGGGGCTGATCTCTGTGAGCTGCAGCTGACCACGCCCCCCTGCAGGAGAGGGGAGCCGTGCTCTGGGGCCTCATTTATAAACGGATATACGCTCAAAAAATGGCGTACGTCAGTTTCTACGCAATGTTTGCGATTTATAAAATACTAACTTGACGGGAAAATGTGCGGTCCTCCACGCAAACTCTAACCCATGCGTACGCACTAAGCACAACAACGGGAGAGACGAGAAACTGCGACACCGTTGGCAGAAGTAAGAATGGAGAGAAATTATGTGGAAATAATACCATAAATAAAATGTTACCTCTCATTTATCAAATATGAAGAATTCATTTTCAAACATTGATTAAAGCCAATCTTAAAATGATTAAACAAACGCCTGTTTGAGACTCCTCAGTGCACACAAAAACATAACTTGGAGAAATAAATAAATACGGATATGTTATTTAAAACCACCTCGAATATGTTGTGTTAATGTTATGAAATGTTTTCTCATAAATGATGCGGTAAGCAGGAGGACAGAATTACGTCTAAACTGACGCCGTTTTGCATTTCTATAGGTTGTAGATACGAGCGTGGTTTTATATACTATCACGTTTAATCGTGTTTTATGCCGTTTGCCAAGACTTGATAAGTCGCTCGTAAAACACAGGAGGTATGGAAACTAAGAACACCATATGTGGTAAATTGTACAGCTAATATAACACAACACATTAGTTGTATTTCCTTTAACTGGTGGATTATGGATATATAGTTGCTGATCGACAGCTGGAACACAAACCACCAAATACAACAAAAATAATTCAGATCCAGTCGTCATGACTCCACTCCGGAGGGATTCCCCGATCATTTCTTACAGTTTCTCATCAAGGGGGTGTCTCCTGTCCCCGGTACAAACACACTGCCTGAGGAAGGTTAGGTTATGTGTATTTGTTTTGTCATTAACTTTTTTCGGACCACTTATTTATTTATTTTGGTGACGATCCGACCTCCATGCTGCTACTCTGGTTCAAACTGCATCCACCAAACAATATGATTTATCTCGACCTCCCCAAAATAACCAAAATCTGACACGGTGCGAGATGTCTTTTTTAGCTGTTCTATCGTAATTTCCTGCGATCTTCTTCATGCAGTCAGTCAAAATGAATGAATTGGAGTTTCTTTGACTATGTATAGGCAAATATGGGCGTTACGAGTCGATTGTGATTTATCAAGGGAAACAGGCGTAGGGAGTGCCGTACGCACTTCCCTCGCCGGTACGCAATGTTTTGTGAATCGGAAAATGGCGGAAAATTTATGTACCTATTTTTTACTACGTAAGCAACCTTCCCACGTGAATCCTACGCAAGGCGTTATAAATGAGGCCCCAGATCAGCTGCTGGGCTGTCAGAAGAGGGGGAGAAAAAGAGATCTCCGTCCTCCGTGTTTTATTATATAGAGTCGTTATTCATTTGTTTTAAAGCTCAATAAATAACAAAGAAGACCTTTGACCGGCACTTTTCTCATTTTGTCCGGAAGATTTCAACTTTAACGGACATCTTGACCGGCGAAAGAAACTGAAACTGAAACTCTGCCGCACAGTCCCCTCGTTCCTTGGAAGAGGCGGAGAGGTGGGTGTTTGTCATCTGCTGGTGGACTAACCGGAGAGAATTACAGTGCTTGCCTCGACGGGGAGGGATTGCATTGCATTAAAGCAGCGGGAGCAAACGCTTGCCTCGGGGAGGGAGAAAAAAAGCCATAGCGGAGATTAAACAGAAGGGTAACCATGGTAACCAAGTCTTCTTCGCTGCTTTTGTGGCATACTACAGTGCCACTTACAGGCCTGGCATATGTACTACAGCGTCTCCAGCACTTTCGAACGGCAATGGCCGTGGCTGTCTCCTCCTGATTGGTGGAGTTGGCCCAATAGCCGTAGCGCCACTTTCCTGACGTCAGGACAGGGTTCAAATCTGGATCAGTTTTTATCAGATCCGTTGCAGCCCCTTTTTTAGAGATTTGGGTATGGAGGAAAATAGAGAGGGTTGTGTTTTCTGACACTTGGTGAGTTCCCTGGAACACCGGGGACACATATTCATGTATAAAAGACGTACAAAAGTGCATTTTGCATGATAGGTCCCCTTTAAAGGCTTTTTTTTTACATAACTAACTGGTTCTTTACTTGAGCATTTAAATGTAATGCTTCTAGATTTTATATTTGTTTACTCAACTATAGATATCTGACACTCAGTTAGGCTACTTGTAACATTTGACATACGAAACATGATGATATGATGCAGAATGTACTACTTATATACAATTGGCTCCACCTTGACACACTACAACATTGTAAGGCTCCGACATGTATTTGTTAGACATAAAAACAGAATATACTATTCTATAATAAAACAACACTGTGAAATTGAGAGATGAGATTGGTGCATAATGATAACTTTTACTGAAACTGAAAGTACATTTTTCTGATAATTACTAACATTTTGAATTCAGTTCAACATTCATTGGAGTATTTTTAGACCATAGTGTTCCTGCGTTGGGGAGGAGAGTAGAGCTGTGTTGTGTTTGGAGGAGGGACTTCATAATTTAAAGAAGTAGTTCCTGGTTAGCCAGTGAAGAAAGACAGTCAGTGGTAAACCATCAGAGTCTCAGCATGAAAGTCTCTCACACTTCGATCTGCTTCTTCTTCCTCTTCTGTGAGTACTTTTCTTTATTTTCATCTCAGTAATTTAATATGTTTCCTTTAAAGTATGTATTCAGTTAATGCAAGGCTCCAGCAGTACGAGTTATTCAAATATTTCAAAGTTAGGCTTTTTAGTAGCTTCAAATGTATGTTTCACTTCCTCAAACAAACTGTACATCATCATTAAACTCAGTTATTATCTGCTTAACGAGTAAAACTAGAAGTCACAACGACTGGTTATTTTGTAAAATAATGTCCATGCTTGATTTTACTGCTAATGATTATTTTCATCATAATTTAAAGGGCCCATGTCATGGCCATTTCCACTGATCATAATTACATTGTTGAGGTATACTAAAATAGATTTATACTGTGCAATTTTCCAAACTCACATTGGTTTCGCATACAGCATCTCTGTCAAGCATGTGTATTCAGCAGTATTCACTCTCTCCACTAAACGACTCGTTGGAGCTCTTGCCCCCCCCTCCCTGTGAGCCTAGTGTGCTCCGATTGGTCAGCTCGGCCACTCTGTTCTGATTAGTCAACCACCAGAGAGGCTCCGCCCATGTCTAACAGTGCTTTTTCCGGCTGCTCTCAGCTGAACATCAGTCTTATCATGGCGTCGGTACAGCCGTATATTTTATATGCCAACTAACCGAACTGTACCTACAACTGTTGTTATAGAAGAGTGTGACGGCCCCAGGGCCTTTGTCTTACGATGGGGTGGAGCTGAAGAGGCTAATCAGCGCGATCACGGACACCTGGCCGGAGCCGAGGTGCTAGCCAGCTGCCCGGAGTCAAACGGCGGCCCCTCTCTCTCTCCAAAGCAGCTCAGCGATCCTCTCCCGTCGACCACCTATCTCTGCATTTACCACAATAAATGTGCCGTGGTTTTGTAAACTCGTGTATGTCTCCTTGTCTTTCCGTTGTGGCCTACGAGCCGGTCATAACAAAGAGTAAGTTATTTTTACCCGTTATAAACTACTACTGTTTGATGAGAAATCAAATCATGGTTTGCTATATATGAATGATATGTTATAGGAGCAAATAATTCAGGGAAGAAAGGATAGGCCTACTAAGTATTTCCATTCAACTTTATTTTTAGAAATGTACAAAATGAACGTAAATATACATATATACACGGTATATCGTCAATTACTCCCCTTTGTCGGCATCTTGCCTATAGCAGCCGGGGCTTTTTAGGCCTCAGTGTGGTAGTCCGGTCCCCGTCATGTATTGTCCGGCAGGATCTGGCTGGACGAAATCAAATGCAAATCACAAAATATTAGAGAAACTTAGTTGTTTTAGATTCGTTAGTAGTAGTTGTGGTAGGAGTGTGGATCTATCTAATGAACAGCTTGCCTGCTAATATGCTAACCTAGCTTTGTTTACCTTGGTAGCTAACACGATATGAACGTTAGCTTGGAGGAACGGCAACTATAATGGAGTGTAATAAAACTACTATGAACAAAAGCTAGTGGTTCATATTAGGCTAGCAATAACGTGTTTATAATTGCAATATTATACGGGTATTCTGCTACGTTCGGTCATACATTGTAACTTGCATGAATACATTGTTTTGCGCTAGCATACAGCTAGCCTCGTTAGCTATACATGCAGTATGTACATGTACTGTCACAATGTACGGTAAATCACCCGGAGTATACTGTATGAGTATTCCGTGTGTGTGACTGCAGACATTCTCCTGCCATGACAAACATGTAAGGCCATCTGCTGACATTGTAGTTGATATATTTAAACGCTAGCAACGTAGCATAACAAAAATGTTTTTCCGACCAAACTAAGGTCTAGCTCCGTCGTTAGATCGGTAGCATACACGCTACGCCAGCTATAATGTAATTACGTTTCGCGACTGACTGTACGGTAAATCACCAGGAGTATACGGTCTATGACTATTTCGTGTGTGAATGCAGACATTATCCAGCTATGAGGAACATGTATGTAAGGCAATCTGCTAATATTGGAGTTGATATATGGAAACGCTAGCAACTTAGTTAGCCCAGTTAGCACTATGTCAATGACTTAGGAGTCCGGTTTACACATTTAACCAGTCGTGGTAGATACCTTGTTTGATAAATACACAAATAACAATGCAAACTTACAGGTTGTGTACCCGAATCTTCCCCTACTCCAAACGGTCCAAACAAACTATAGCCTCGTTGTTTGTGTAGCTCGGTAGCATACACGCTCGGAACGCCAGCTATAATGTAATTACGTTTCGCGACTGACCGTACGGTAAATCACCTGGAGTATACTGTCTATGAGTATTTCGTGTGTGAATGCAGACATTCTACATACATGTATGTAAGGCCATCTGCTGATATTAGAGTTGATATGGAAACGCTAGCAACTTAGTTAGCACAGTTAGCACTGGCTTAGCAGTCCGAAACATCTTTACACATTTAAACAGTCGTGGCCTCAAACTGGGCAATGTTTTGGAAGCTTTCGTCTGTGAAATGCCGGTTCTTCGAACCTCTGAAGGAACAGTGTTAAAAAGACATTTCAACCACTGACTTCGTCGTGGTTCTTCCGTCGGTAGGACAAACAGCTCAGATTTCTCTTCACATTTCAGGAAACAGGTCCTTGGCAGTGGCATGACTGGATCGATTGTGAACTGAACCAGAGCTTCCAACAGTAAATGTTAGGCTGGCAGAGGGTGCGGCCAGCGCCACTGGGTGTGACCATAGCTCTTCGGGATTGGTCCATTTCGTTCCGGGTACCGCATGACATCAGGCCGTACCCGGAACTAAATGGAAGAATCAAATGGGCAGTGACGTATCTCCAACGAGGCGTTTTGGGGAGGTATTTTCTGTGTTAGAGTTTTACTCGCTACAGGGTGTACTTTGAGGGTTTTGACTCTGCACACCGTTTACATGCATAAAAACCTTCATAACACACAAGGGGACGGGTAATAACCGGAAAAGCATGACATGGGAGCTTTAATCGCCAAATTATTTTCTTGGTTCCTTTATTAATCCTTTGATCTTTATTCTTACTATATATAAATGCCGCTAATGTTAATTTGATCTGTGTTAATGTGAAACAGGAAGTGTTGTTTTCAGACTGCAGGATCTTACAGGAAGTACTGACCACTACTAATGATGGTTCATCTTTTGTTCATCTTTTGTTCAGCTCTGCAGGATGGAAACACCGGTCTCGTCAGTGACCAACTCACTGTCTATTCAGTAACTGAAGGAGCAGATGTCAGAGTTGAATGCCCCTTTACTTCTTACAAAAAAAACAGGTTTTTTTGTAAGGAAAAATGTAAACAAGAAGACATTCTCATTGAAACAACTGATGCCAAAGATTATCAGAGAGGCAGATACAGCATTGATCATAAACAGAAAGATTTTTTTGTGACCATCACTCAGCTGACCAAGTCTGACTCAGGAGAGTACAGGTGTGGTTTGGCTGAATCTTCTTCAAGGACTTCATACAAGCTTATTGAAATCATTGTTGTGGATGGTGAGTTTCTACTAAAAACTGAATGTTCTTCCTTTGTCTAAATAATAGTTTTACCTTTTCACCTACTTTTTTTCAATTTCAATGCTTTATTGTCATGTGCACATTAGCTACAGTTTAGATGTGGCAAAGAAA